TACTCTTCCTGTGAGACCCCTACCACCATCACACACATTGTACTCTCCCCCATGAGACCCTACCACCATCACACACATTGTACTCTCTCTGTGAGACCCCACCACCATCCACACACATTGTACTCTCCCCCATGAGACCCCACCACCATCACACACATTGTACTCTCCCCCATGAGACTCCCACCACCATCACACACATTGTACTCTCCTGTGAGACCCTACCACCAGCACACACATTGTACTCTTCCTGTGAGACCCCACCACCATCACACACATTGTACTCTCCCCCATGAGACCCCACCACCATTACACACATTGTACTCTTCCTGTGAGACCCCCACCACCATCACACACATTGTACTCTCCCTTTGAGACCCCACCACCATCATACACATTGTACTCTCCCCGTGAGACCCCCCCCCCCCACCATCACACACATTGTACTCTCCCTGTGAGATCCCACCACCATCATACACATTTGTACTCTCCCTCTGAGACCCACCACCATCACACACATTGTACTCTTCCTGTGAGACCCCCCCACCATCACACACATTGTACTCTCCCCCATGAGACCCCCCCACCATTACATTACACACATTGTACTCTCCCTGTGAGACCCCACCACCACCACACACATTGTACTCTCCTGTAAGACCCCCCCCACCATCACACACACTGTACTCTCCCTGTGAGACCCCCCCACCGCCATCACACACATTGTAACTCTCCCCATGAGACCCCACCACCATCACACACATTGTACTCTCCCTGTGAGACCCCACCACCATTACACACATTGTACTCTCCCTGTGAGACCCCCACCACCATTACACACATTGTATTCTCCCTGTGAGACCCCACCACCATTTATACACATTGTACTCTCCCTGTGAGACCCCACCCCACCACCATCACACACATTGTACTCTCCCCCATGAGACCACACCACCATTACACACATTGTACACTTCCTGTTGCCATCCCACCACCAGCACACACTATACTCTTCCTTTTGAGATCCCACAACCAGCACACATTGTACTCTCCTTTTTAGATCCTACCACCAGCACACACTGTCTGTACTCTCCCTTTTGAGATCTCTCCCACCAATTGCACACATTGTACTCTCCCTTTTGAGATCCCCACCACCAGCACACACTGTACTCTCCCTTTTGAGATGCCCCACCACCAGCACACACTGTACTCTCCCTTTTGAGATCCCATCCACCAGCACACACTGTACTCTCCCTTTTGAGATCCCACCAATTGCACACATTGTACTCTCTCCCCTTTTGAGATCCCACCACCAGCACACACTGTACTCTCCCTTTTGAGATCCCACCACCAGCACACACTGTACTCTCCCTTTTGAGATCCCATCCACCAGCACACACTGTACTCTCCCTTTTAAGATCCCACCACCAGCACACATTGTACTCTCCCTTTTGAGATCCCACCACCAGCACACACTGTACTCTCCCTTTTGAGATCCCACCACCAGCACACATTGTACTCTCCCTTTTGAGATCACCACCACCAGCACACACTGTACTCTCCCTTTTGAGATCCTACCACCAGCACACACTGTACTCTCTTTTTTGAGATCCCACCCACCAGCACACATTGTACTCTCCCTTTTGAGATCCCACTACCAGCACACATTGTACGCTCCCTTTTGAGCTCCCACCACCCAGCACACACTGTACTCTCCCTTTTGAGATACCACCAATGGCACACATTGTACTCTCCTTTTTGAGATCCCACCACCAGCACACATTGTACGCTCCCTTTTGAGCTCCCACCACCAGCACCCACTGTACTCTCCCTTTTGAGATACCACCAATGGCAAATATTGTACGCTCCCTTTTGAGATCCTACCACCAGCACACATTGTACTCTCCTTTTTGAGATCCCACCCACCAGCACACACTGTACTCTCCCTTTTGAGATCCCACCACCAGCACACACTGTACTCTCCCTTTTGAGATCCCACCCACCAGCACACACTGTACTCTCCCATTTGAGATCCCACCCACCAGCACACACTGTACTCTCCCTTTTGAGATCCCACCAATGGCACGCAATTGGACTCTCCCTTTTGAGATCCCACCACCAGCACACATTGAACTCTGGCTTTAAGATCCCACCACCAGCACACAATGGATTTTCCAATGGCCCAGTTTTCCATTAGTTTTGGTACAGCCCTCATAATCTGCACTTCAAACAATGTATCGAACCATTTACATGAAGCTGCCCTTGAAATGAATATTTACTATCCAGATTCATATACAGTATTCCATACCAAGGGAGTTACAAAGCCTATAGCATCCCTTTGATCTGCCAAGAATGGGTCAAGTTATTGAAGATTGGGTTGGACGGCAGACAATGAGGAGTGATTCTCTATCACATCACACAAAGTTCACGGCGTGACTCAGACTGAAATGACAAGTCCCTTCTCTCCACAGTATAGATATCAATAATATTGCTCTACATCTATCTATCGGATGGATGCGTTTTGACTCCCATGGTGAGCTGGTGACTCAGCCAACTGTCATCCGTTACCTGTTCTGAGTTAGAACAATTACCGCTGTGCGCCGTTCATCCCTCAGCAAATCTTTACAAATCAGTCCCAGTTTATTGATGCCTCGGGTCCACAAAGATCTTTTTCTGCTTTGACTCAGCCCTGAACATAAACAAAAACCATGGTGTGAGGACGTTCGGGGATCAGCGTGACTGCTAGTACCTTTTAGCTCTGAAAGACCGAAAAAAAGCTAAAAAAAAAAAGATGCGAGACTGCGCCTTGAAAAAAGTTACTATTTTAAGGTGGCTTAAAATCAGTTTAGAACCTAGGATGCACTTTGTAAGTTCGAGAGTCCTCTCACGTTGGGGACATGCCCTTGGGTGCAACTGCCATGATCTGCTGTCAGTTTGACAGCCAAGCAGGGCCGGCGATACACTAGGCAAACTAGGCAGTCGCTTAGGGCACATTGCTGCCTAGGGAGCAGATACGGCTGCTGGTTTCCCTACTCTCCACTATGGCTGGATTTAGAGGGGTGCTGGGGTGGGGGTGGGGGAGTATAAGGGTAAGGTGAGAGGATTTCAATGTCGAGAAGGGCAATTTGGAGTTGTTTTAGCTAGAGGCGGGATTTGGGGGAATTTGTTCTAGGTGGGGGGGATTGAAGGAAGAGGATTGGTGCTAGGAGGGGGGTTGGGATGGAATTTATTCCAAGAGAGGGGATTGGGGGGATTTGGGAGGGGATTGTTTTTAGGAGGGGGATTTGGGGGGAATTTGTACTAGAAGGGGGGGGGGGTATGTGCTATGAGAGGGGATGAAGGGGGGTTGTAGGGGAATGATTGGGGCAGGATTTGTGCTGGGGCGGGATTTGTGCTAGGAGAGGGGATTCGGGGAGGGGGTGATAGGAAGGATGATTGGGGCAGGAGGGGGGATTGAAGGGGGGATTGTGCTAGGAGAGGGGATCTGAGACAATCTGTGCGATGAGAAGGGATTGGGGGGGGTGGTAGGAGGGATGATTGGGGCAGAATTTCTGCTGGGTGGGGGGATTGAAGGGGGGGTTGTTCTACAAAGGAGAATTGGGGAGGGGGAGATTGTGCTAGGAGAGGGATTTGAGACAATTTGTGCGATGAGAAGGGATTGGGGGGGGGAGGTGGTAGGAGGGATGATTGGGGCAGAGGGGAGGGGATAGTCCCGAGTGATGGAGGGGATAGTCCCACGTGATGGAGTGGATAGACCCGAGTGATGGAGGGGATAGACCCGAGTGATGGAGGGGATAGTCCCGAGTGATGGAGGGGATAGTCCCGAGTGATGGAGGGGGGATAGTCCCGAGTGATGGAGGGGATAGTCCCACGTGATGGAGTGGATAGTCCCGAGTGATGGAGGGGATAGTCCCGAGTGATGGAGGGGATAGTCCCGAGTGATGGATCGCTGTGATCCCAGGATTCCCTGTAGCGCGCTCTGATAGTTATGAGGTTATTATATGAGCTGCAGACATTGTCCGATTGATGGAGGGGATAGTCCCGAGTGATGGAGTGGATAGTCCCGAGTGATGGAGTGGATAGTCCCGAGTGATGGAGGGGATAGTCCCACGTGATGGATCGCTGTGATCCCAGGATCCCCTGTAGCGCGCTCTGATAGTTATGAGGTTATTATATATGAGCTGCAGACATTGTCCGATTGTCCTGGCTGAGAAATATTGATTTTGTATCATCGCTCGGTGTGCTCGCCAGTTATAGAACAACAGAATGCAAAGCTCTAGAACGGCCCGACAATCGCATTATGAACAAATCATATTTATTTAATGCGTCCTTAATCTGAAAATCCATGTAGATGTGTTTATTGTTATTATTTAGCTATTGAGATGTAATTCCAGGTACATTGCTGAACAGTGAATCAGACCGGAGATGTTTGCTCGGCTATTATGTAATGCTATGCTCACTGCATTTGGATTTCAATTCTGTATTCTTCCCAGGACGGGTCTTAAAGGGTCAGCTCACACAATAGAAATATCTCAGTGTTTGGTAAATGCCGAAGCGTTAGACCACCTGAGAACGTTTTTGGGGGTCACTCCTGGAGTAATCCCTGCAGTTCTCAAGTCTGCACAACCTCCATTAAGGGGGCGGTTACCATACCTGTGCTGAGTTCCTGGATCTGTACACCCGCTGTCCCCATTATGAGGGGTTCCCACCATCTTTTGCTGAGTTCCTGGGTCTGTACACCTGCTGTGCCCATTATGAGGTGTTCCCACCATCCCTGTGCAGAGTTCCCGGGTCTGTACACCCGCTGTGCCCATTATGAGGGGTTTACACCATCCCTGTGCAGAGTTCCTGGGACTGTACACCTGCTGTGCCCATTATGAGGTGTTCCCACCATCCATGTGCTGAGTTCCTGGGTCTGTACACCCGCTGTGCCCATTGTGAGGGGTTCCCACCATCTTTGTGCTGAGTTCCTGGGTCTGTACCCCAACTGTGCCCATTATGAGGTGTTCCCACCATCCCTGTGCTGAGTTCCCGGGTCTGTATGCCCGTTGTGCCCATTATGAGGGGTTCCCACCATCCCTGTGCTGAGTTCCCGGGTCTGTACAACCGCTGTGCCCATTATGAGGGGTTCCAACCATCTTTTTGCTGAGTTCCCGGGTCTGTACACCTGCTGTGCTCATTATGAGGGGTTCCCACCATCCCTATGCTAAGTTCCCGGGTCTCTACACCCACTGGGCCCATTATGAGGGGTTCCCACCATCTTTGTGCTGAGTTTCCGGGTCTGTACAACCGCTGTGCCCATTATGAGGGGTTCCCACCATCTTTTTGCTGAGTTCCCTGATCTGTACAGCTGCTGTGCCCATTATGAGGGGTTCCCACCATCTTTTTGCTGAGTTCCCTGGTCTGTACACCTGCTGTGCCCATTATGAGGGGTTCCCACCATCCCTATGCTAAGTTCCTGGGTCTGTATACTTGCTGTGCCCATTATGAGGGGTTCCCACCATCCCCGTGCTGAGTTCCCAGGACTAAAAACTTGCTCAACGAACAAAAGAAATGGACCTTTATTTATTGCATGCACTTATATAGCTCAGTCAATTTATGCAGCACATTACACACATACACACACAAATATATATATATATATATATATATATTATATATATATATATATATATATATATATATATATATATATATACACATACATACATACATACATACATACATACATACACACACACACAGGGGCGGACTGACCATTTGAAAACTCAGGCAATGCCCGAGGACCCGGGGTCAGTAGGGGGCCTCATGAGATGCCCCTGGTACCTTTTTCATAGGCTTTTTTTTAGTTTGGGCAAGGACACAGGGGCCCCATGATCCCCTATTGCCCGGGGGCCCCATGAGTTGTCAGTCCACCCCTGCATACACATCAGTCCCTAATCCTCAAGGGGTGTGCAATCTAAGGTCCCTAACTCACATTCATACACATACTAGGGGCAGTTTAGACAGGAGCCAATTAACCTACCAGCATGTCTTTGGAGTGTGGGAGGAAACCGGAGTAACCGGAGGAAACCCACGCAGGTACAGGGAGAACATGCAAACTCCAGGCACATACTTTGAACCAATGCCCCTAGTGCTACCAGGTGGAAGTGATAACCATTTGGCTACTGTGCTGCATTACTTTGGGGCTCATATAGGCATTATTGCACATGACAAGGTGTAGATCCTGCCCTAAAGCAGAATAATTCACCATTCCCACCAAGCAGAAAGCTCAAACACTACATATTCAAAAAATGTTCAAAAGATAGCCGATTGGTCCAGAAAATATAGTCTATGGCCGGCCAATAAACGAAAAAATCGGTCGTTGCTGCCATGGATGCTTCCACCAATGCTACGAAAAAACAACCGTTTTTTGTGGATTTTCCAGCATGACAGATAAAAAGAAATGAGAAGAACCGTGAAAATCAGCCGACGACATTGCCCCACTGTGTGAATATCGGCCGATTTTTCGTTCGGATGAAAATGCGTTGATAAACGGCCCGTCTATGATGGAGGAGGAGAGAGGAAGAGGAGGAAGAGGAGGAGGAGAGAGGAAGAGGAGGAGGAGAGAGGAAGAGGAGGAGGAGAGAGGAGGAGGAGGAGAGGAGGAGGAGGAGAGAGGAAGAGGAGGAAGAGGAGGAGGAGAGAGGAAGAGGAGGAGGAGAGAGGAAGAGGAGAGAGGAAGAGGAGGAGGAGGAGAGAGGAAGAGGAGAGAGGAAGAGGAGGAGGAGGAGAGAGGAAGAGGAGGAGAGAGGAAGAGGGAGGAGGAGGAGGAGGAGGAGAGAGGAAGAGGAGAGAGGACGAGGAGGAAAGGAGGAAAGGAGGAAAGGAGGAAAGGAGGAAAGAAAGGAGGAAAGAAAGAAAGAAAGGAAGAAAGAAAGGAAGAAAGAAAGAAAGAAAGAAGAAAGATAAAAGAAAGAAAGAAGAAAGAAAGAAAAAGAAAGAAAGAACGGAAGAAGGAAGAAAGAAAGAAAGAAGAAAGAAGAAGGAAGAAGAAGGAAGAAGAAGAAAGAAGAAGAAAGAAGAAGAAGAGAAGAAAGAAGAAGAAGAGAAAGAAGAAGAAAGAAGAAGAAAGAAGAAAGAAGAAGGAAGAAGAAAGAAGTAGAAGAAAGAAGAAGGAAGAAAGAAGGAAGAAGAAGGAAGAAGAAGGAAGAAGAAGGAAGAAAGAAGTAAGAAGAAAGAAGTAAGAAGGAAGAAGAAGAAGAAAGAAGAAAAAAGAAGAAAGAAGAAGAAAGAAGAAGAAGAATAAAGAAGAAGAAAGAAGGCAGAAGATTTCCAGTCCGCTATAATATTTGACATGAAAAAGTATTGTGGTTGCAACAATGTATCTATTTGTATCCGAATAAAACCATCTGTATCTGAAATGGATACAAATAGATACATTGTTGCAACCGCAATACTTTTTCATGTCAAATATAATAGCGGAGCTCTCTGCAGGGCACAGAAGTAATTAAATGCCGGCCGTAGACGGGACAAAAATCGCCGGTTTTTGACCCGTCTATGGCCTGGATTAGTCCTGGAAACTTTTTTTTATTCAATCTGCTGAATCCACAGCACTGGCACACACACGTCAACAAAAAAACAAGGAACCTTCTTACTATCTTGCTTTTTCCAGAGATTATCTCCTTGATTAGGGTATAAAGCAATTAACTTCCTTATTACGCTGCTTATTTAAGAGATTACGGCTTTGATAAAGTAACAAAAGGCTGGAACCGCTCTCTGCGTTGATTACATAGGAGATTAGGCTGCCTTAATACGGCCCATAAAAAAAAGAGAAAAAACGGGGTTGTGTGTTTTCAGCTGCAGGTAGGAACATATAAAGTGTTCCTGGAATATAAAATTCTGGAATATGTTTAGGAAATTCCTCAAGAGATTAATTCTTCGGCTAAAAACGTCCTTTGTAAAGTTTGAAAACAAACATAATGCGTGGCGGCTCGGCTCCAGGCGCTCATTGTGATTCCCTTTTTGTAACATTCTGTTTGTACTTATATTGCGAAGAACAAAAAAAAAAAAAACCAACAAAAAAAAAACAATTTTCCCACCAGCGGCATAAAAGGTATGAATTAAACTGACCGTGCGTAGGAGCCGAACAACGAGTCCGGCATTGTAGGCTTGATTCAGCACCAGACAAAAAACGGAAACCGCTGGCGGCTCGGCGAATTACACCCAGCGGAGCTCGTATAAACGTCTTACAAATGGCTGTGTAATCTTTTACCGCTGGAACGTGTAAAAGCGTTTTCTATGAGAATGATCCGGCTGAGGCATAACTTCACATCTCTCCATCTGTATGCCGCATTTCCCGACAAAAACATGTAAACCGGTGCTGCAGAAAAAAGAATTCATAGAATGGATATTCTAACATTGTAAAGGCTCATGCCTATGGGAGGATCGGGCCGTACAGTGTAAAATATGGGACTTAGGAGCGGCAGGTGTTGCGTCCAAGAAAATCCACATTCCAAATCTGAATTGACATCTCTAAAACTCCAGTCATATTCCTTAAATCCTGATTTGATAAAATTACAGTCCAAACAAGTCTCGTCCTTCCACAACAAACGGGATGACGTTAACACGCTGACGTCATCCTGTTCATTCTGGAAGGACGAGACTTGTTCGAACTGTAATTAACAAATCAGGATTTATGGAACGATGAGGAAATGCCTAATGGATATTTTAACATTGTAAAGGCTCATGCCTATGGGAGGATCGGGCCGTACAGTGTAAAATATGGACTTAGGAGTGGCAGGTGTTGCGTCCAAGAAAATCCTCATTCCAAATCTGAATTGACATTCTAAAACTCCAGTCATATTACTTAAATCCTGATTTGATAAAATGACAGTCCAAACAAGTTTCGTCCTTCCACAACGACCGGGATGCATAGCACACTGACGTCATCCCGTTCATTCTGGAAGGACGAGACTTGTTCGAACTGTAATTTTAACAAATCAGGATGTATGGAACGATGAGGAAATGCCTAATGGATATTTTAACATTGTAAGGGCTGATGTGCATGGGCATATTGGACCATAAGTGTAAAATATTGCCTTATTTTAGTGCTTGGGAGCCGCAAATGTTGCATACAGTTAAGAAAATGCACATTCCAAATTTGAACTGCCAACTCCAGTCATATTCCATAAATCCTGATTTGATAAAATTACAGTCCAAACAAGTTTCGTCCTAACACAAAGAACGGGATGACGTCGGTGCGGAGCATAGCACACTGACGTCATCCCGTTCATTCTGGAAGGATGAGACTTGTTTGGACTATAACTTTATCAAATCAGGATTTATGGAACGATGAGGAAATGCCTAATGGATATTTTAACATTGTAAGGGCTGATGCACATGGGCATATTGGACCATAAAGTGTAAAATATGGCCTTATTTTAGTGCTTGGGAGCCGCAGATGTTGCATACAGTTAAGAAAATCCACATTCCGAATTTGAACTGCCAGCTCTTAAACTCCGGTCATATTTCATAAATCCTGATTTGAGAAAATTAAAGTCCAAACAAGTCTCGCCCTTCCACAATGAACGGGATGGCGTTGGTGTGTAGCATAGCAAGCTGACGTCATCCCGTTTATTTTAGTGCTTGGAAACAGCAGATGTTGCATACAGTTATGAAAATCCACATTCCGAATTTTAACTGCCAGCGCTCAAACTTCAGTCATATTCCATAAATCCTGATTTGATAAAATTACAGTCCAAACAAGTCTCGTCCTTCCACAACGAACAGGATGACGTCGGTGCGGAGTATAGCACACTGACGTGTGACACTGACAACTTACCTCTTTTGTAAGTTTTATTTCTGCTTTTAATAAAAGTTGCTGTGCTTATCTGCACTATTGGGAGCGCTTTTTCTTCTTTTTTTATTTTTTTTTTGCACAGGATGTGGCAGTGTAAGATGTAATGAAAGACGTTGCAGCAGATACAAGGCTGGAGGATCTCATTCAATACCCGCATGATGGTATATTCACTTACAGCACAGAGCGACTTTTTATTGCTTTCAGGTCCACTCATTCAGGTAAGAGTTTTTATTATCATGGCGGTGATATCATCAAAGGAGATTCTTCATGGAAAACTGCTGGAGGATTATTTTCCGGATTGCATTTTCTTTATGGGATGTTTGGATGGAAACATTTGATTTTCATGGTTCATATAGAAATACTAGGCGGGAGATTTACTAAAACTGGAGCAATCGGGATCTGGTGCCGCCGTACATAGTAACCAATCAGCTTCTAATGTTTAACACCCCGCTCACACCAATCCCGACTTTGAAATCGTGCGACTTACAGTGAAGTCGCACAATTTCAAAGTCGGATGACCTGCCGATTTGAGGTGCGATTTGCAAGATGTCTGACAAAAATCGCACCAAATGTAATGTAAGCACTACGTCAGATATGAGCGCTGTAATCGCGGACAATAGGGTGCGACTTGCCAATGCGATTCGCAAGTCGTATGGCATGCAGACCGCATGCCAAGTCGCACCCAGTGTGGCCCGGGACTTATTGTCAAA